GATACCATGCTGTATTTTCTGAGCTACCATGATATCCCATTAATTTTGGAAGGTTTAGTCATTTGCATGCCGGTGTAAGCCAACAGGATACATTATGTTTCCTGCTTCAACAACATTCCCCTACTTCACTCTGAGCTAATGAGGCCATTTGTCTTCTGATGCCCGGGAGAATGTGCTTATCACTGCATTACCTATTAAGCTTCTTGTGGCCTCCAAATGGAAAGAGCTGTCATTAATATCCTTCATGGTAAAAAAAAGCTTCTTTAAGGGGTTAGGTAGTGTGTGTGTGTGTGTGTGTGAGAATGTCAGATGACTGAAGGCTGTCTGCTGCTCTGCTCTTGAACATCACTAAATGATTGAGTGAGCTCAGTTCTTGACAGGGTTCATTTAAGAATTACATTCAGCAGCCCTATGCTCACACATGTAAATTCACACTAAGGTTTCACCCATAGACTGTGTCCATGAAATAGGTTTCTGAAGAGAGCTGTTGTGAAGCTCAATGTGGGCGGCTCCTGGTGGCTCCGGCCATTGCCATCTTGGCAGTGCTTGACTGGCTAATCCAAATGTGGACAAAGAGGTGGAGCTAAGGAAATTGGCTATAGAGACCAAAACCATACCAGGCTGTTAACATGTTTATTTCTGTTGTGTGACTTTTTGCAGCTTCAAACAAAAAACAAACAAACAAAAAAAGGTATTGTTGTCACACTGATTATTATGATTATGATTATGATTATGATTATTATTATTATTATTATATTTTAATAAAATGTATATAATATATATATTTAACCAATATTTTAACAATGCCTAGAGTCTATAGCCATGCAAGTGGCTTTGTTAGGTTGTACTTAGGCACAGCAGTGCGAGCGGAAGAGGTGAATATCCAAACCCTTCTTTACCATGGTACACAATAAGATGGAGGAGTTTACAGTGAGTCGAACTCCCATCGGGGCCCTTAATGTGGGTTTGCAAACATGCCACTAGCATGGTTTAAAATGTTAAAAGCTGGTTAGCAGCTCATGAAGGCAGGATACAGCAGATTTAATTGCACTTTTATATTCCCCTTAAGTTGCTGAGAAAAATCATGTATCAGTCACATAACGGGTGAGCACAACTGACATCTCCATATCTGATTATTATATAAAGCCCAACATCAACTCTATATAACTGCAGACCCATACAGTATATATGTCTACCATGCACGTCCACATGAATTGCGTTTAAGAAAGATGAAAAGGATTAGAAGCAGTGAAATGTTGACAACATCGGCCCCAGAGGAGAAGGCTCCAGGTGGGGTTGTCGGAGCGTAGAGCTCCTTCCCACTGCACCTCCTCCAGGAGACATAACATGGCTGGGTGAACTCCCCTGTGCAGGGCCCTCATTCTGTCTGTGTCACATTCCATTTGTAATTCTCATGATAGGTGACTCACACAACGCTATTGCTATTGTTTTTGTTTTTTCTCAGATGTACTGGAGCTGTGTCTCTGTGTAAAAGTCATCCATTTATGGTCAAACTGCATGTGTGTGAGAGAGTGTGTGGGTTTGCGTGGAGTGAAAGTCACAGGGATTAATGTTCAGTAAGTGCTATCCCTGCCATATACAGTAATGTTGCCGAGTTTTTTTCCATATCACACTTTCCATTAGGATTCCATAAAGCATTATTACTGTGTATGTCGCCCTCCATCTCTGCTGCTATTACTCACTTCTGTTTTTTTTCTCAGCTTTCTATGTAAGGACTTTTCTCCTTCACATTCTCCTGTCACTTTCTCCTTCAGCACCCCCTCATGCCCCCCCCGTGAGCCTAACATTTTAAAAGCTCTCCTAATTAAAAGAGAAAGTCATTCCAAGCAGATGGCATGAGCTGGCCTAGGTAATTATTGCCAAGTGAACCATGGCCCCTGTAGACTGAAATGAGTAGCAAGCTCAGTCGGATTGGGGAAGAAGCTCAGAGAGAAACTGTGAAACGTGGGCACATCTGACCTGCAGAGGCCACTGACTGGATCAATGTGAGTCTTGAGCACAGTCTTAAACATCACATACTGCTTTGCCTTAAGTTCTCAATTCAGCCCTCAGCTGTCTTTTTTTTTCATCTAAGGGGAGTCAGATAATTTAATTAATTGAATACAAATTTTAATGTGCTGTATCTTCCAGGATTTGCAGGATGTTATGAATCTAATTATTCTTTTGCCTTTAAAATTGGTATTACGCCTCAGGGTTTCTTGTGTGTCTCTCTCTCTCTTACACCGCCACATCTACCTGCACAAGTGATAAATAGGTTTTACAAATATGCGGTTTGTGAATGCATGTGTGTTGCAGGAGATACTAGAGTTTGTTTTTTTAATAATGTAAGCACAACATTAATGAGTTTATACACTTGAGGGAGGTGTTGGTTAAAAGGATGTCACATCCTCATTTGCCCCATAATCATCTTTCTTCACCTTTAACAAAGCCCTGCATTCCTGCTGCCTAATGAGGACACAAGTGGCACTCAAAGCTGCACTTAAGGAAAACCTACGTGCTTTATGTGATCTAAGAAAAATAAAACTCAAAAATGTGTTTATTTATTTAGGGTTGGGATTTAGAGAAGGGAAAAACCTGAAGGAACAAAGGGAGGCGAGGGAATGTTTGTCTGTGCCATTAGCGCTTACTAGTATTTATTGCTGCTTTTATTAATATGTATTGTCAGTTGTAGATCTCGGGTTATATTTGATGCTCTGTTGATGATTGTATGTTGTTCCTCAAATGTAAGTTGCTTTGGATAAAAGTGCCAAATGTGTAAATGTAAATGTCTCAGTAGTTTAATGGGGTCAGTGCAGAAGTGAAATGAAACAAGGGTGGCTGATTGTGGTTACAGGCTGAAAACAAATTTACCGCTTAAACACATGTCTTATTAGAGCGACACTATTAGGCATTTCATAATTTTCTTTTGATAGCGTCAACAAGCCGCTGTTATCACTTTGACTTTGGCACTCTGACTCAGGAGATAATTGAGAATGAAGTAATTAAACAAGATTTAGAATCTGAGTGTTTCTCTGTGGCAGGCTGGTGTGTACTGCTGGTATACAGTAACAAGACTTACAGCCACATCATGGATAAGGCTTGTGTATATGTATGCGATAATAAGATTTCAGTGGGATTTTATGTGTGAAAGATAGAGAAAACAAGACAGAAGAGCGAAAACAAAAATAAGTTTACACCTGGACATGCCTGTTTTTATCCTGACTACATTTACGGGTTTACAGTTTGATCACTGAAATCTCTCTAAGCAGTCTAGTGCAGTACTGTCCAGCTGTCATAATTGAGATGAGACAAGCTCTGTGCTGATAAAATACTAATATTTCTGTCTAGGTAGCTCAGGTAAGACAGTACAGTTGAATCAATAAAGAACGAGGTAGTACAGGACAGTGAAACTGATACAAGAATTGATTTTGTAGCAACAGAAATCAAACATTATTGTTTCAGCAGCCTGTTGCACCAGCTGAATTTAAGCATAATCTTAACTTGGAGTGTAATGTCAACACAAACAGCTACACTGTAACTGGTTAGTTTCATACTAAACCTGCCACTTCGTTCAGTTGCACCACGATCTAAATTGATTGCTATCAAAACATTGTCATAGAAAAGGATGTCATCAAATGCAGCATGGGGGATTTTTGATTTGTGTCCTAGCTAATACATGATACATGTGTTTATTAGCTCATTAATAATTTTATCGATCACTTCTGTTGTACTTTGATAAATTTTACTAAGGTGAGGATAGCTAGATCACACATAATCATGGTCATAAATCATAACTGCATTAACTTGCTGAAAAGATTTGGCCAAATTCAACACCTTAACATTCACGAGCCTCTGTGGCAAGCAACCAAGTGGGGAGCGAGCAGAAATTCCTGTCGCAAGTGAATGAAGTGAAAGCCAGCATTGAGAGGAGGGAGATGTGATCGTTTAAATACATGAATAACGGTGCGCATTTTCAGACCGTGTCCCCTGGAAGACTTTCATAGTGCTGCATTCAGTTGTAAATATGAAAAATATTTGTGTCAAAAAACTCTCCTACATTCAAACTTACACTATATTCTAAATTGCACTTTTTTTCTGTGATACTGAGGTCATAGTAGGAGTTGGAGAAGTGCGAGCAGAGTTAGATTAGTGTGAGCACAACAAAGAAAGGAAAGACTGCCTGCTCTCTTTCCTTCTAGCCTCTCAGCTAAGCTTAAGCTCCCCACACATCTCTAAATGCTCTATCTAATTGAAAGCATCAGAGCCAAGATGGGGCCACCGAACAGTTGCGGCTGTGTAACAACACAGCAGATCTCTGCTGTGGGTCTTTTAGCTAGTGATTTATCAGACTGTACTGCAGGTCTCCTGGAGTAACAGGCTGAGGAAATTGAATGTCTCTGACCACTGTCTTCTTGTGGCTCTCTGGCCGAGCTTGCAGCCTAGTTGCTACAGATGGAGAGTGTTGAGGGTTTTTTTTTTGAGTGAAATACATGTTTGAACCGTGATAAGCTCTGGGCTGTTGCATAAAAGTTTTGATCACTCACAGGCCTTTTCTTGACATGCTTCTGATTTCCAAGTCTCAGCACGCTTGACATGTTTATCAGCCTGTGGCCTCACTGGCTTGTAGCTTTCTGTGGTAAACAGGTTTGGGAGGTAATAGTTTTAACCTCCCTGAGCTTGCAGGGTTCAGCAATCAGCATTCATTTCACTGCTCTGTGATTGGGGGGTGGAGGGCACAATGAAATGAAAAGTCAAGAAAATAGGCAAAGTGGAGATAATTAGAGAGAGATATCAGGAGAGACAGCACTGCATAGGAATAATATGAGACATGATGAGCCTCTGATGAGAGTGATGATTGCTGGGATTCAGATAATGTGACCAGTTTCATGGCATAGATTAAGCCCTACTGAAGACTGACCATGCTCTTAACCTGTCATATTGTCTTCACACTTCCTATTTTCACTGTTATTCTCTGTCTGTGTTTCTTTCCCTCTGAGCAGCCAGGAAGACATGCGCCGCTGCAGAGTTCGCCTGCTTGAATGGCCAGTGTGTCCCGGGACGCTGGCGTTGCGACGGGGAACCAGAGTGTCCCGATGGCTCTGATGAGGCAGAGGAGACCTGCAGTGAGTGAAACTAATCATGTTTGTGATTTCAGACTTTTGTTAAAAAATGAAATACCACACAGTTTTATCTCTTCAGGCCTAAAAAAATTAAACAGTCTAATAAGGAAAACATGCAGCCTGAGGGGTTGCAAGTAGATGTTAAGATGTCACAAGCAAAACAGATCCAAACCGCTTTATCTGGAGGTAAGACCAAAAAGTGAGTGCAACCTTCCTTTGCACAGGATTTTTTTTTATGAAGATCTTCCATAAAATGCAGTAGATGTTTAAAATGGGAAGTTTGGATAGGACAATATAGTTCCCCTTTTTATATCTAATATGTTTAGCTGAAACCTGTAAGATTGTGAGACTGCTTGTGCTTCTTGCCCATTGGACTTATTTTTAGTGATGTCACTGCACTTACCACATCTCAACATTTAACTTGATGTTATTATTGATAGAAATCATGGTCAAAACTACAAAAACAAGAACCAGGTCATATGAAACTGGAATTTCACCTAAATGTTTTTCTGAATCATTGTGTGTGTTGTTTTTGGTTTCAACTGGAGCATCTCAGAGGCACAGTGGGATCTACTAAGAAATAAAGAAGCTGTGGCTTGCTAAATATATTGATATTATGCGTGTTACATCAGGATACACTGTCAGGGTTTGTTTAAAACAAGATTTATTTTGACTTTATAAAATCCTGTATTCAGGTTGCTAATTTCCCTTGTTATCTTGACACCAGCGGTCATTCAGCCGCCTCGCCTGCCTTCCTTGCCCACACACTTCAGTACTCAATGCTGTCTGATGGCGAGTGCAAGAAAGGCCTCGGTTACCTCTCTGCCAAGCTGTTAGAGCTGAGCATCTCTGGATGGCTCATTTTAGCTTGTGCCAGGCTAGCGCACCCACACACTGGCCCTGATGAGGGTTATGTGAGTGATGTCTCCACAACCAGCAGCGGCTCCAGAGTGGGATGCTTCCCTCTTGGGCTTATAGATATCAGAAGGAGCTGAAAGCACTGAGCTAATAAATAATGATTTCTCAGGAAAAAGCAGAGTAGCCACAAACACTGAAATTTATGACGTCGGTTCAGCTGTACTTGATCCCGAAACACAGGTACAACAACCCAAACCAGCTTCGCAACCTAGATTAGAGCAAGACATTTCAGAGTGAAAATGTATTAATTTGTAACAAATTTATCTTTCATAGTAATGTTTTAACTGTGCACTGGTATCTAACGTTCAGTAGGGAGGGTGGGTTGAGGGGAGGAAGTGGGCGGACGTCTTGTCACAGTGTCTGCTGCAGCTCAGTGTGTTTCTCCACCATTGTTTTTGAGCGGGTGCCACACTAGGCGAGCATTATGACGCATTTTACATGGTGACACAATTAGCTTACGGGAGTAAAGGCTGGACAACAATCAAGCCGTTTTCAGTCAGTGTTTTTCTGTGGGAGATAGTAACTCCCTTTGGGTTTGGCCTTTTCCCTTAGGAAACCTATTACATGTACAAAAAAGTTATTTAACACAATAAAGGAAAGGGAAAAAGCCAAAAAGCATAATATGACCTCTTTAACTGCCCTATAAAAAAAGAAAAGAGCCATGACTTCCTTGAGCCAAACCAGCTCAGTGTGACAGCAACAAATATATTGATTTTGACTGAGAACTAAGTTTACCTTCATGTAGGCCTTATTTAGGAAGGAACATATTTGAAATCTAACAGTTCATTGCTCACCCAAAAATTAACCTTTGTTGAAATATGAACTTCAGCTTCTTAAGATGATTACATCAATTCTTCTGACAAAGCTCTTCTCACTGGTTTGAAGTGGGCGGGACTCACTTGGAAAATAGAGAATCATGGTTTAACACCATTTGAATCAGAATCTGATGACAGTTGTGGGATGTTTGGTCACTTTCAATCAAATCAAACAGAATTTTTTTAGGGGGCTTTCACACCTACCTCGTTTGGTCCGGCCTTTCGGACTTTTCAGTTTGGTCCGAACCAAAAATATAGGTGTGAAACCTCCCCTGGACCACAGTCCGGACCAAACAGATGAAATCTGGTCCGACGAAAAGAGGTAGTCTCGGACCGGATCAAACTGAACCATGGTTCGGTTCATTTCTGGTGTGAAAGCATTTCTTGGATGTTTCGGACTTTCAGACCATTTACAGGAAGTTCGGCATTTCCTGTATAAACTGGAAACAAACAAATGCGCGGAGAAATGAGGACACAATTATAAATCTCCCGTGACAGATCATCTTTTCAAACAGAGGGCCATTATAGAAGCGCACTGCCACCCATCCCTTTAGTCTCTCCTCAAACGGAGAAGCAGAAGGATTGCTTGCTGTCTTCTCCTCCTGTCCTATCAGCAACGTTATAATGTTCGCACAACGAGGACGTTTAATTGCGACTAGCCTTCAGTATAGTTGGTGCTGCAGGTATTAATGCCATAATAATAACAATATAGTGGTGGCAAATATACATATGTTAATTTTTTCTTCATTAATTCTTGTCAAAGATACCTGCCGAACTGTTTATAAACCAATCAATGTCAAGTATAGGGAGATGCAGCCCACATAGATGATGACGACAGGATGCAAGTGTGTCATGTAAAGTCCTTTAGTGCGGTCGCAGAATTGCAGTGTGAAACCAAACCAAAACTAAACGAATGTATCAAAACATGAACTTTGGTTCGGACCTTGGTGCGGACTTTCAGGTGTGAAAGCCCGCACCAAGCCAAGTCTTCAAAGTCATTTAACAGTTTGCCCGCACAAGCCAAGTTCTGAAAGGCTTTGACTGTTGACCCCCACCCATCATTGCTGTTTGATGTGAAATACAGTACTTGTCTGCCCCAAATTCACGCAAGTCGGCTCACAAAGCCGATAAATGGGCAATGACTGATGACATTTTGTAAATGATAAATTGACTTCTGCTCTACAGACCACTCAAAGCACACTTGTCGCATTCACCCATTCACACACGTGTTCATCTACTGATGGACACTGATTTTAGGGGCTGCCATGCAAGGTGCCAGCTGCTCATCAGGAGCAATACAATGCTTCCTATCCGAAATGCAATTTGTGGTTCAGAATCTTGCCCAAGGACACTTCAACTGGAATGCCCCCAGCTGCCCCATAAATCAATAGGAACAGGAAAGGTCCAACTCAAATTTAATAAATATTAAAATCTGGTAACTGTTTATAAATTATAGCAGTAGATTTCAAGAGCAGAACCTTCTAAACATTACTGAAATAATGTCTTATCAGAGTGTTTAGAAAGGATAGTGGATGTTGATGAATGATGTTGATAATGATATTGTATAACTTGTTTGAAACTGATATTTTGTGTTCAAAACTCCTTTTCAAAGTTATTGTGGGAATTAAAATGCTTGTAGCATGGCAGGAAATGAATAAAAAAGGCGAATGAATCTTTCACAGGATGTTCATTCTAGTTTTGTAACTTTTTATTGGCCGTACATGTGGGTTGGTTCAATGAATAATGTAGCAGCCGAGCAAAGCTTCTAATGTCACCCCGAGAAAGTTGAGTGTAAGGAAGGATACATAAAGACCTCTGAAGGATAACAAGTTTATATTGGAAATCCAATTAAAGATAAATGAAGTAAGGATTCATCTCTTGGCTGCAGAATAAAGAGACTGAGATCCGGGCAGGGACAAAAGCAATTTATATGGAAATCCCATATGTATTCATATGACGTTGCAATGTTAACATTTTCAACACCAACAACCGTGAACATTTTTGTCAAGGTTTTTATTTCTCTGCAAAAAAATAACAGGTATAGATTTTGACCCACTCAGAAATGTTGTGTTTTTGTTTTATCCAAATTCCTTTTTTTTGTTGAGTGATCTTTGTTATCTTTTTGCTTTAGGCAAAACAAAAACATTTGAGTCCTCCTCCTTTACTAAAAGTCAAACTATAATACAGGTAGTCCTCACCACTGTGTAGCCCTCCTGATAATGTGTTCACATGAGAAGTGTCAGATCGAAACTGTATCCTGAACAGAGGGAGTGCTAATGAGATCTACTTCATCACAGCTGTCTTTCAGTTTGAGTGGATCCAGCTGTGCCATGATCACACTAAAGAGAGAAAAAAAAGGAAAAAAAGGACTCATGGATGGACATCCTGTGAATATGCATGCAGCATCTTAGGCACCAGCAACCAGCCTACACGTGAATGGCTCTCTTGACATCTCTCTCATTAACCTCGTTTCACTGGTAAATTACCTGTCTGTGGCAGCCACTTGGTAAGATTACAAAGCTATAATGAGAACTGTCCATCTGTCAGGGGAAACCTCTTGATGTGCTGCATTTTTCTGATTAGAGTGAAGATGCATAAAACAACCTCTGACATGAAAGTTTTGCATATCCAGTCTGAAATGCCACTAGCATCAGCGTTTTGCTTAACACCTCAATCCCATGCAACACTTCACTTTAAAGTCAAAAGCTACCAAGCTTCACATTTATCAATTAAACTTTGCTAAAGTGATTCTTGTTCTGCTGTCTTAACAGCAGAGGGAAGGGCGGATTTTCACACAGACTGCATCCAATCTTTAATGTGATAGAGATATGAAGTTTGCCGTTATGTAAATAGCAGAGAGTGCTGACTGCGTGAGCGTTTTATACGGGTCAATTACATATAGCACGGCATACACCTTAGTGCATCCTGCTCCAGTTATGCTAAAGCCTGATAAGCCAGGCTCTACTCTCACGTGCAGAAAACCCTCATCTTGTTTTTCATTCAATTTACCTCCCATCTCTCCTGTGCTTTCTGTCTATTTCAGTTTCACCTGTGCACAGCCATACAGTCCGCACTCACATTTGCACACACACACTCAGCTAAGGCATTTTGGACTTGGTGCTGCAGACATCTGTGCCACAGTCATTCTGGCTCTCTGAGTGGATTCCCAATTACACGCTGGAGTAGTGTTACATTGCCGTATTAAGAATTCAAATTCTGGGCCACACAGAGTTACTCGCGAGCGCTAAAAAATGAATGACTCCATGGAGA